CGATCACCTGTTTAGCTTTAAAAAAAATCATTGAATGTAAAAAATTATTTTACAAATAAATACGCCACGCAGGTTTACTCTATGTAGCCGAAAGTACGGTCAGAATCGTTTAGTTTCAAAAGTGCACCCATATGCCGCAAACGAAAAAGATTAGAACTTTCCAAGAAGTCTCATATTTCGTAGGTAACGCTTTCAAAATGTTTGTTGCATGGACACACGTTTCGACGTGCGGCAGTGTTCCTTGACGCGAGACCGTTCCCAAATGCGAACGCAGCGGGTGAGGACGAAACGACGCGGAATAAGAGCGAAGGGACCGAATAACGGAAATGTAGAAGAAACGAAAAAGAATAGTTTGGAATAAGAGGGGTTGAGGGACGGGGTGGCATCGTCGCGCATGCTTTTTTTCTGACACGTCGGTGCAACGAGGCAACAAAAAAGGAGCGCAGCTGCGAGGCAGAAGCGTTCCTGGGTAGCACGGGCCGGCCACACGCGACTAGATGTAACACTAATTAACGCCTAGCGTAAGAACTAACGGATATAAATGAACGGATATATTGTCTGACATAATAACCAGGTGTGAACGTACACGCGTATACGTGAGGTCCGCTGGAGCCAATGACTGTGTGTGTGTGTGTGTAACATGTGAAAAGAAAGAGAGAAAGAGAGAGAGCAAAAGAGTATGCATGTGGAGGCGAATAAGACAGAGGAAAGAATAAATAGGGGCGAAAGGGACACATACACACTCGATGTAAGAAGAGAAAAGAAAAAAAGGCTGTTCGTTGGACTGACGCAACCAAGGCGTTGGTCGAATGACGCACTTTAAAATAAAAAGAAAAAGGGGCGACCGAGGACAATCTTTCTTGTACCGTTTCTTCCCTTTCTTCTTCCAGCGCCTCGCGAGGCAACTCGTGGCGAACAGAAGAAAAAAAAAACATACACCGAGAAAGGGCCAAGGATAGGGTTCGCCTCTAGATCACAATTGAAGCTCGCGTCCGTTTCTTCTCACGCGCCGCACCAGGCTCGCCGTCCCTCGCGAGGTGAAAGAAGAAAGTTGTAATTCCCGCGCTTGTCCTCGCCGCTCCTTTATTATAACTGAACTAACAAAGAGGGAAATCGGAGACGGTGGTAACGACGGCCGGGTGGTTCGGTGACGATTATAATGATGATGATTTAAATAAAAAAAAAAAAAAAAAAAAAAAAAAAAAACAAACCGAAGAAAAATAACACGAAACGTCGTCTAAGGTATACTAACGTCGTAGACAGCATTGAATTTTTGTACCATTGTCTATAGTAGCTCTTAAGTGTCGCGGAGGTTTCAGTTCTTAGAATGCCCGCCTATGCAGGCTTGAGTACGTACGTTATGTATTCTCGGTTTTTGTCGATTGTTCGCGGGGCGGATATTGGGTTTTCGAACATTCTTAGCGTCTCGTACGAGATTTTTTTATTCCATCGCGCGTCTTATTTAAGGGATAAAGGGGGGGGGGGTTAGAGGACTTCGCGTCGACGAAAGTACACGCATCGGTGGTTCCTTGTCACGGGCTGAAAATGCATTCTCTTCTTTTTATACTCTAAACTGTGTATTGCGATGTCTATTCGTTCGAACACGTTCACGTCACTATTGTAACGAATGGCAGAATGCTGATCGAGAACCACTAATTTACACGTAAAATAACCGTTCTGCTTCCTCGAGAATTCTTACGATTCCTGCACTCGGTGTAAAAGCTACTCGAACGATCCTCGCCGCTCGTAGCCGCGCGGTTTACAGGCCCGAGAGGCGAGCATCGTTTCGCGACACCACGAACAATACACTTACCTGTACCATTCATCCTCGAATATACGGACGAATCGATGTAGATCGGATCCGCCCCGGCGACATACACGCGCCTGTTCCCGAGAGTCGCGGTACGCGAATTATCGAAAGAAGATCCTTTTTCGTGTGATGATTGACCGTCCTGACAGTTCGTCGATGTGCTCTTACGCGTAAATAACTCGAGTTAGTTTTTTCGATAGTAGGTAAAATACGTAAAGACAGAGAGAAAGAGAGAGAGAGAGAGAGAGAGAGAAAGAGAGCGCGCGTGCGGAAGAGATGCGATTTTACTGGAGGCGACATGGAATCAACGAACCGGATTTCATCACCGACAGCGAAACTATCGATGTCGATTATTGATAAATTCGTTCGATACTTTGTCTTAGTAAACTTTTGCAACCGATCATGCGACCGATAGTGGAGGCTGACGGTTATGTTGCCGGTGAAACGATCTCATGAGAGAGAGAGAGAGAGAGAGAACACGCGTAATTTTGTCGAAGAAAATTGTATACTGTTTGCGGAATGTAACGATTGCCCGTGATTAATGGTTGAGAATAGTGTTGATACCATGAAAAGTGTATATGTGCGATTATAGTGATTTCAACCCTCTACCGCTTGCTGCTGATGTCGGCCATAGAAGGTGTCATAGGGTACTTATTTGCGACGATATCGGAACGCCTTGTAAGTGTAGATAACTTTTAAGAAAAAAAAAAAAAAACAAGTACGTACCTTAGATAAATCCTTCTGATGTGCTCGTACTTCTATTTTCTCCGTTTGTCATTATTTTGATCCTATATCGGGTCGATTCATATCAATGTATTTCTTGGAATTTAATTCGAATCTTAACCCTCGGTAGATCGTTATGTCTGATGATCGTACGGCAGGCTGTGATTGATTTCGTTTACACCGTTGCTTATTTTTCCTTATTTCTCGAGCCCTTGAATAGACAATTCCTTTTTTAGAATAATTACTTGAAGTACTAGATATCGTTTCTTCGGTAGCAAACATAAACGGCACAAGTTGTATATAAAGTTATTTATTCTCGACAATTCATAGATAATAAATTATTATTATGTTTTGTCTGTGGTAATTACCATGTTTAAATATAGATTTGTATTTATTATCATTTCTAATATATATTTTAAGCATGGTTTTTTCGTATTCGACTCACTGTATATTTTGTGAAACGAATTCTTGCAAGCCTCGTGAATATCTGAGTCAAGATGGACGCAGACACGACCATCCGAGGGTTAATAATTCCGTTCACGTGTAGCTAGTTTATAAAATAGAGAACAACTTTAGCTGTGGAGGGTTAGAAACAAATAAAGGGTATACAGTCGTCGATCGAAACCCTCGGGACGGCGGAAGTTTCATCAATCCCTCGTAACCGGAAATGTTATAATACGAATCGTCGCGCTTTCCTTATTGCACGACGAATAAACGAGCCGCCATTGAGACTGTAGGGATCTTGGATTGAACATTCGAAGATTTCAAAGATCCAACGTCTCGATCGCGACGAAAGGAAACCAAATCTGTCAGAACGTTTCAGTTTTTTCGCGGAATTTCCCATAATGGCCGTTTTCACACGTAGCGATGGGTCTAATTAAGAGTTAACGCGTGTGCCGTTTGCCGGTTCGAACGTTCGACGGAGCTGATGACTAGAGTGCGGATTTTATGCATTTATGGCGCCTACGAATGCATAGAACATAATAAAATTGAAGAAGTTCGAGAAAAAATTCACGAAGCCTTTATTTTATTCTCAACTTAAACAAACTCCCGATTCGTTCGAGTAAATTCTCCTTTGATCCTGGTTCTTCTCGAAATAGTGCACGAAAACATGAGTACGCATAAACATCCGCAATCTACCGATGACAATTTATTACGTGCAACGTACAATCCACTGAAAGAGAACAAGTTAGGCGGAATGAGAAGATGGAGGGGGAAAAAGCATTTGTCGAGCGCCCGAATAAGCGAACATGAATTTAAAGTTAACATAAATTTAAATATGAGAACGTTTAAACGTGAAAAACAAAAAGAGAGATATCCCTCGAAACAAGCCTTGTCTCGCTGATTCCCAGCTGCCCGACTTCAGTGCTTTAAGGTGAACGGGAATAGTGTTTAACGAATCCGCGAGATGATGCCGAGGAACCAACAATTGTGTGGACGAGCGCAGTTGTCTAAAGAAGGTACGAACGCGTGGGTGCAGTGTCTATGTGAGTGAGAAAGGCCGAGAGAACAAACGAACGGATGAGAGAGATAATAAAATCAATGTTAAACTGATCATTATCGATTTGCAATTTTCGAAAAACACATTTTCGTTATTCGCCATTTTTACCGTATATGTTCAGCCTCGGTCCAGCAAGCTGGACATGAACCTCCACAGGCATAAATCGCAACTGTATCGGCCGATGCTCTGCGTGGGGTGTATTATTTTTCTTCTTTTAACAAAAGGGTAACATAATCAATCTCGAACCGACCATCATCGACGCACACCGACTACTTTTCGTGCATCGGAGGATGCCAGATGCGAGCGTTATTACCTACGGGGCAGCATCGTCCACGTCGAAGTACACGTTACACACAATTCTCAGCGTTTCCGTTTTTTCAAAAGTATCGTGACGACAAGGACGAGGAGAACTATTGTCCCGTTCTATGTGTGTAAGAACCATAAAGCTTAATGAAGAACATTATACTATGAACTTACGGGATACTAAATAAAAGTAAGCCAAACCGTTAAGTTTCGAACGTGTCTTCCTTTCTCCGTCGACGCCTGGCCATCATCGTATATCTTTCGTTTGAATGTATCTGATTAGTTTTCTGGTTAGTTAATTTCAACTCACTTCGATTGTTTAAGTATATTTATTTATGATTTCACAAGGGAACAACGGGTAGTTTAAAAGCTTGATTAATTCAGTCATTGGTAAAGTTATTTATTATAGAATCATTGAAAATATTATAAAACACCGTTTTCTGCGCTGTATTGATTTTATACAAGCTGGTATAATTTATTCAGATTTTTTGTTCTTATCGCGTGTCTTTATGCAATTCCGAATGATTTTTTGAAAGTGGATAATATAACAGGCACTTATAAGACGGAATAGGCCACTTAACATTGACTGTACAACTAATTCTACGATGGAACTGAATGGTGACATCCCGGAACATAGGACAGTCAATATAAAACCTTCCACACCGACTGTAGAGAAGAATTTCCCAGCCTGCAATGTAATTTACTTCATGAAGTTCCTTTTCAATTAAACTGACATTTACAAAGTATATAACTCCAACATTACTAACCAGTGCATCTCTAAAAAGTTTGTCTGCTACTACTCCCGGACTGACTAGACTAGTGGTTTCTGATATAAGCTTTGTTTCAAGAGGTTTTGTCAACTCCTCTATAGCAAAACCTGGAGTGTCTGTGTCTGGAGGTAAACAGAGCGTCACAGAAATGTTATATGGTGCCAGTTCCATAGATATACTTTCTGCCAATCCTCGAAGAGCAAATTTTGTACTGCAATAAGCAGAATAGCCAAATATACCTAAAAATGCAATTAATATTACACAATATATCCAATTAAATTTAACTAAATAATAAGAAACTGCATACCTAACAATGCAGCTTGGGAAGAAGTTAAAACAATAATTCCTTCTTGAGCAGCTTTCATTCTTTGGACAACAGCTTTGGTACAGTAATATGATCCAAGGAAATTAAGATTGATCATTTTCTTTATATCTGCCACTTTGGTATCTTCGATTTTATCACAAATTGCAGTACCAGCACAATTAACTAACATGTATATTGGACCCATAGTTCTTTCTATATCACTTAGAGCTTTTTCAACTGCCTCGTAATCTTCACCAATATCAATGGATAAATATTCAACTTTTTGAACATCCTTATTTTTACAAGCATGAATTATTTCATTTCTGGCAGCTTCTAATCTTTGAATATCCCTTGCAATTATTGTCACATGTGCACCATGTCTGGCAGCAGTAATTGCTACACATTTTCCTATGCCACTGGATCCACCAGTGATCTAAGAAAAAATACAATCTTAAAAGTACAAGATTGTATAACAAATCCTCTCACACCATTTATTTACAAAGTCACTATTCTAAAAAAATATTCACAAATGTATAAGCAAACAAATTATAACAAATTTGTAATTCTGATGTTTTATTTGTCTAGGCCATTCGTTATTTATCTATTTTACATAAAAGCTTCTATATAAATAAGTAACATTATAAGAGGTTAAGTTGAGATTAGATTTCTATTACTTACAACAACATGCTTGTTATTAACGTTTTTTAGTCGTCCTCGCCAAAAATAATGTCTCACAAACAAAACAGTGACTACTAAGACAAAAATTATTAGTATTGCGCCAAGCAATATTGCCATTGTTCTAATTTTATATAGTTTTAGACTACACTGTTTTCAATAAAATATGATTTAATTCCATATGTACACGAATATATATTTGGTTGATGAAATGTAATAGATAGTACTATTTGGAAAATGTGTTAGATCTGTTAAAATTCCTGAGAAATAAGTATCTAAAAAATTTTAAAAATTTTAGTTAAATCCTTATTTTGCCGGTTCATAACTAAATAGACAAACGTGACGTGACTGCCACTGACTGCCACCAACTGCTGCCAACTGCAACTGACTGCAACTTGTGACTTATGACGGGTGGAGTAGAAGCGGGCGTACACCGGACCAGACGCTCAGGGCGCGCCTATAGGTCGGAACCCACAGGGAATCGGACTATACTCTTGCGAGACCCGACGGGAACGGAAACGGAAGGATACAGGGAGATCACACAAATATATATATATATATATTAAACCCGGAATAATATATCGGACATGTTCCTTGGTAGCTACCTCACCTTGTAGTCTAGCCAAGTCACACCTTTTGGCCGGCGGCTTACAATTTCCCTTGCGGAAAAGCCTTACCGTAATGAGCCATCTCGTGGCCGCGGGATTTCGGGAATCGGATAACGTCACGGCGTGCGAGTGAGAGCGGTAGAACGAACCGCGGTATCAGTGCTCTCCATCGGTGCCGACGCGTGCCGAACGGTGCCGGAGATGGCCGGAGCGGGAGAACGGGAGCGAGCGAGAGCGGTAGAGCGAGCCGCGGTATCGGTGCTCTCCGTCGGTATTGACGCGTGCCGAGGAATTTCGGTGGTCTATGGGGGGAGGTGTGCGAGCGAGAGAGTACGGTAGAGCGTGCCCTGTATCGGTGCTCTCCGTCGATCCAACGCGCTAGTGAGTTGCGTCACCCAGTTTATTGACTTAACCGTGTACGCCGTGTACCAAGGTCGTACCATCCCGTGCAGGTCTGTGCTTGCTTCCTCATTTTCTCGTGAACCGTCGCGGAGGGTGGTCGCGCGTCTCATACTCGTCCTTTCTCTTGTTACTAACCCATTGTTTGTTGCAGGCATTCGACAACCATCAATTTATTTACTGTGCATATTGTTGTGTCCCCTCTCTTGTTACTAATCCCTTGTATGTTACAGATGTTCGAGAACCATTGGCTTCGATATTTATCTTCTTATGTACTGTGATTTATTTACTGTGCATATTATGTATTCTATGTGTATTGTATAATGAAAAATATTTTTCCAAACAGTTATTCGAAAGAAGACATCGATCAACGTCTACATCTTCAAAGCGTGCATCCGTCTACCACT